CTCACTGTCTATGACAGCGCGACTGTCGCCAGAGCGCAGACTGAACGTTCAGCGCATCACGAAATCCTTCCGCTGCGGCACTATAGTCCCGCTCAAGAGGTTTCAGAAAATGCTGGGTCTCATGGCCTCAGCATCATCAGTACTCCAGCTGGGTCTGCTTCGCATGCGCCCACTGTAGTTATGGCTAATAGCACGAGTACCGCCTCGAGCTTGGGCCTCCGGTCTGTTTCACCTCAAGGTCGATCAGAAATGCGTCACAGCTCTGATACCTTGGAGATCGACCGACTGGTACCAGTCAGGTGTAAGCCTGGGGACTTCCTCGAGTGTGCAGCTGGTGTCCACGGACGCCTCCACCTCGGGATGGGGAGCGCTGCACAGGGGCAGACTGTTCTTTGGCCTGTGGTCAGAACGAGAGAAGCTCCTACACATAAACTGTCTGGAAATGATGGCAGTCGACAATGCGCTGAGGCGCTTTTGTCCCCGAATAAAAGGATACCACGTCTTAGTCCGCTCGGACAACATGTCGGTGGTAGCCTACATAAATCACCAGGGCGGCGTCAGATCCCGAAACCTTTCCAGGCTGACGGAACGCCTCCTGGTCTGGGCTCAGCACAATCTGCGCTCACTGAGAGCAGCACATGTGCCTGGTCACCTGAATTTGGGGCCAGACAGACTGTCCAGAAACAATGTTCCAGCAGGAGAATGGTCTCTGCACCCGCAGACGGTCCTTCTGCTGTGCGAGACATTCGGCAGAGCGCAGGTAGACCTATTTGTGTCCCGAGAGAACGCTCACTGTCCGAAGTTTTTCTCCAAGAGCAGGGATGGGTTGGCCCACGTCTGGCCCCGCTGCCCGCTCTATGCTTTTCCCCCAGTTTCGCTCCTGCCTCAGGTGCTGGAACGAATCAGGGAAAATGGATGCTCAGTGCTCCTTGTGGCTCCGCTCTGGACGAACCAAGCTTGGTTCCCAGTCCTGATGCAGCTGACGAGCACTGCCCCATGGCCAATACCGACGAGGAAAGACCTCCTCTCAGGCCAGGGGCTCGATTTGGCATCCTCGCCCGGAGCTGTGGTCCCTGCACGCATGGGCCATCAACGGGTACCCGCAAACCTCCCAGAGGGAGTATTAAACACGATCACGCAGGCTAGGGCGCCGTCTACTAGACGACTCTATGCCTCGAAATGGTCAGTGTTTGCTGGCTGGTGCAGAGCCCGAGGCTTTTCACCCCCAGACTGCGGGATTACGGAAGTGCTTTCCTTCCTTCAGGAGCTGCTGGATAAGGGTAGAACCCCATCCACGCTCAAAGTTTATGTGGCGGCCATAGCTGCGTTTACAAAACCCGCGACTGGCCAGTCACTTGGGAAAAATGATCTGGTCATCCGCTTCCTAAAAGGAGCTAAGAGACTAAATCCTCCCAGACCCCCCTCAATCCCCATGTGGGACCTTTCCACGGTTCTGGAAGGCATGAAAAGTGCCCCGTTTGAGCCGATCCATCTGTCGGACATGAAACACCTGTCGTTCAAGACAGCGTTTCTTATGGTTCTCGCTTCAGTGAAGCGTATAGGGGATTTGCAAACGCTCTCAGTGAGCGCGACGTGTTTGGAATTTGGGCCAAATGACTCGAAAGTCATACTCAAACCAAGACACGGATATGTGCCTAAATCCCTCAACACACCGTTCAGGGCCCAGGTTATTTCCCTGTCCCCCCTGCCGGTTTATAACGAGATGGACGCGAGCTTCCTTTGCCCAGTCAGAGCATTAAGAGCTTATGTGTCTCGCTCGTCCGTTTTCAGACAGACTGAGCAGCTTTTCGTTTCGTTCAGCGGCCGTGCTAAGGGACTAGCCGCGTCGAAACAGAGCCTATCCAGATGGATAGTTGACGCCATAGCGCTGGCATACACGTCAAAAGGCCTTAAATGCCCTTTAGGTGTTAGAGCGCACTCCACAAGAGGCATGGCCTCGTCGTGGGCTTGGTCTAGCGGGATTACCTTACAAGATATCAGTATGGCGGCAGGCTGGGCCTCCCCGTCTACATTTATAAGGTTTTATAACCTAGAGGTTCCCGCCTTACAGGCTAAACTACTATCGGTATAAAATCAAGTACTGTCTGCCCCGCTGCTTCGGCGCAGAATACTAAAATCGCTTGAGCACTGCTCGCTGACCGATAAAATTACCCCATGGGCAAAAGTAAGACCCATACTGTTACACAGTTCAGGCCGATTGTTTTCACCCTGACTGTGTGAAACACTGCAACAGTTATTAGCTCCCTTTGGATGCTAGCTTATTGGGAATGACGCTGTTAGCCTCTCTTCTCAGACTCTCTGTGAGTCCCTGGTGATTGTGCACTATATGAGCCCCGGGCACCTCCCCTTGGGACTTTGGTGTTGGATCCCAGCACGCACAGCGTTTTACACTGTGTTCCCCTAGCGTAAGATATTACGCAGTACGAGAGAACCTCTCGTAAGAGAACGTACTTGGTTCCTAACGTAACCTCGGTTCTCTCTAGAAGAGGGAACGAGTACTGCGTATCTTGCCGTGCCTGCAACACGCTCTGGTTCGCTTCGGCGATGAAAAACCAGTGATATCAGCCCATCGAGCTATATTTATAGGGCTAGGCCACGCCTACTTCGGTGGGAAGGTGACGGAGTGGGACCGTCACCAAAGGGCCTCTCTCGATAGGCTGCTGCAGTTGCCGCAGGACAGCCAATAGGCACGCAAGCCGCCTTTGCCCATGTCTGTATGCTGCCGCAACGTGTTTTACATTATTCAAAATTAAGGATAATTTTTTGGCTTCAATATCTCGTGGAAAAGAGGTTTTCCCCTAGCGTAAGATATTACGCAGTACCCGTTCCCTCTTCTAGAGAGAACCGAGGTTACGTTAGTAACAGAGTACGTTTTGCAAAAATCCACAGCTCCCGGATCATCAGGTCCAATCAGCGCAGGGGGGTGTGAGATCTGACTGTCAATCACAGATCGGGCACACGCCCCCCTCGCGCACGTTACAATCACATGCACACGCCTGAAGTTCGCGGAAGTTCGCGCAGTAACGAAGAGTGATGGCGGAAAATCAAGTAAGCTCATTTAGAGTATAAATGACGTTAGCAATTGCAATCTATCGGTAGATTACCCAGGACAGCATACCTCCAAATACTCCATGGTGTTGATGGATGCTGATGAGACGGGCGCGTTCACTGAAAATCTGGTGCACACGCACTGACGAGCATGAACTCGGTGGGAGGGTATCCGTTGATAGTGGGGGAGGGCCATGAGAGTTGTAAACATTCAAAATTTTGCCTAAATCCACTCAATCTGCCAGACTTGCCGACTGCAGCTTTAATACTCAGCCTCCAGAGAACATTTCGGCACTGGTTTGGTTCCGATCGGGCAAAAAACCAAGGACTAGATCGCAAAAGTAGATTTTTGACAATTCCAGGTGGAAATGAAATCGGAGATATACGTTTTGTCCGTCTTGAGCCAAGGATTACAGTGATACAAGATAAACGGTCTAGGAGTTATGCGCAATTTCATACTTTTGCTTGCTGTAGCGCCACCTATTGGCCAATCGGGGTCATACTTGTATAGGTTCTCCCCAAATTGAGGACTACCATCTGGCCGAGTTTCAAGTCTCTAGGCCTTACGGTTTGGGCTGCACGATGCGTTTTACGGCGGAATAATAATAATAAAAACCCTTACAAATACAATAGGGTTTCAGCACTTCGTGCTTGAACCCCTAAATATCTTGATGATCTTTCATTGCTCATAAAAACAGGCAGCCCAACCCTAAACGCACATCACTGGTTAATTTCTAAATTAGGCTCAAGACTGCAATCATGTTTGGTGTCGCTAATGCTGCTGAAATGACCAATTCACTTTTAACATGAAATATGACAAGATATAAATGAGTTGTAAATTATGCCACACCAATAACAAACAGTAAAACATAAAATAAATATGATCAACGTATACAACGCAGTCTGAATTCAGCTTATTGTATATTGTAATGAGCAGCAGATACAATCAAGTGATTATCTTCATATGCACGGTTACAGTATGAATGTTCTGTACAGATCACCAACAATCTAAAATGTACCATATATAGCAAGTGCAATCATGTAAACATACAAACAATTATTGCATTCTTAATGCTGGATCGTATAAACACTAAAAATGACATTAAAACAATATTAGCAATTACATAAGAGGAAAACTTATCTTCCACTAACATAGTCCCCATCATTTCTTAAATGTAGAGGTTTAGCGATTATCTTTGGTCAAAAAAAGGTATATTAATTAAAATTTACACAAGTCATCCAAGTTATCTGCTTATATATCATACTGAAAAACAAACAACAATACAGATTCCACAAAGAGAACTCAGATAAGTGATTTAATCCAGATTGAGCTGTTTGGGTAAAAAAAAAAAAAAAAACACCTGTAAAAGGAGATACATGCTATAAAAAGTTTTATATATATATATATGGCAGAATTTCAGCTTTCATGCAAAGTCTACTATCAGCGGCTTTTTGGACAAACTAATTATTGAATGTGCCAAAGTTCTTCGAAAGATATTCAAAGGTTTGTTTCAGACACTTATTAGGACGTAAACTAGATTCCACAAATATAACTTTATAGCCATGCTGTTTTATGAAATAATCTGTAGTACATTAATAATTTTGGATGAATTTGGTCAGAATATGTTGCAACAACAATTTGTTGTTGCAAAAACAACGGAGAGTCTGCAAGTGTCACTTCACCCAAATAATCCACAAAGTACTGTAATTATAAACATTTTTATCCTTTTTACAAAATCTAAAAGATTTTGTGGGTTTTGAAGATATCATTAATGTGAAATTCATTCTAACTGCAGCCACTGATAGTCATGGCGTTGCCAATAGATGACAGCCATGTTGTGTATTGCAACTATTACTGTTAATGTTTAAAATGTTCCCGGGAAAAAAACAAAACAATTAAAAGAAGTGTCCTGTAAAACACATACAGTAAATTGTGCATTTTAATGGATGCACAATAAATGCAAACATGTCCCGGCCAACATTAATAGTTCATATGTTGGTTTGTGGGTAAACAGCTACAGTCCAGTCACAGTCCAGTCTAAAGAGATGGAACACAAAGACAGAGAGCCTTTTTTCCCTTCTGTTGGAGACGTATTAAAGTGATGCAACAAGAGAGTCCAATTCCTTCTGTGCCTCCTCGTCCTTTTGAGAAAGTGCAAAAATAATTCAGTTACTGACAGAATTACAATGACAAGAGACTCAAACTATAAATCTGATTCATCCGAATAAGAAAAACACCTCTTTAATCACAATGCTCATCGCAGAAGCAGCGTCACACATCTGTCGGGCATGACTCCTCTGACCCAAGTCTTTGTAACACTGACAGGAGAAAAGTGATATACAGTAGGTGCAGTTACAGTCAACCATTCCAATGTTCTTCATTTCTTTTAAGGCTTTTCTGGCTCAGTTAAAAACCTAGTGAGCTGCCTATGTAGACGACATATGTGTGTTGCCTATGTAAAAGCTGTTCCAATTTTTTTTTTAATAAAATCATCTAAGATGGAGGAAGATATTGGAGAAATGTCAATTATCTACTATAATGTTCAAAAGTTTGGAGCCAGTATTATTTTTAAAATGGTTTTGAAAAAACTCTGTAGCAGCACTTATCACAAATACAGTAAAAACAACAGTAATGTAAATTATAACCATTTAAATAAATATTTCTATTTTTTACGTATTCATGTGATGGCAGAAGGTGAATTCTCCTCATTACTCCAGTCTTCAGTGGCACATGATCCTTCAGAAATCATTAGAATATGCTGATTTGGTGCTTAAGAAACATTTCTTATTATTATCAGTTGAATAGTTGTTGCTAGTTAATATTTTTGTGGAAACTGTGATCGTTTATGAATAGAAAGTTCAAATGTGCCCTTAATGAGTCCTAGCTGAGCAAAAGTATTAAAAACGTTTGAATGATAGTGCAAATCTATTTGTACTTCATTCATTACCAAAAACTGAAATCAGTTAAATAAAAATAGAAATTAGCACACATTAGCTGAACATGCCTAAAAATCAGTCAGATTCAACATATGCTATTAAAATGTAACCATTACAGATAGTTCAGGAGATTACAGTCTTTCTCTTCCTCTTTTTAAAGGGACAATGTGTACTTTTTTATGTATTTTATTATTTAAAATCAATATTTTTATTCATAAATATGTGCTCAATGGTGTACAAATACCTCTGCCAATTATCTGACTTATCCTCGTAAACGAAGAATTTATTATCTTTATATACATGGGACCGGTAGGTCCACGGAGGCTTCCATGTAGTTCCGCCATCTTGAATCAGATCGTAAAAGGAAACGTGACCGGAGATTACAAAAAACACGAGTTAATGTCGGGATAGCTTTTTCCAGGTGGAAAGAGCTAATGCAGGAGAAAGATTTCAAAAGAGACGCTGAAGTCCTGCTTTCTTCTCGACAGGTAAGTCGATGTTACGGTCTTAATTACAAGCTTGTTTTCATTGTTTGGTTGTGTACTTTATTTTATAAGGAAAACTCGACGAAGTGCTATTAGAAGGCGTCCTGTCATAGCTTTTTGGTACATAACGGCTACCGTAGATGCAACGCGCATTTGAAAAAGCGAGGCGCTGGAGAGCACAATTCGTTTGAATGCAAAATACATTTTCACCGCTAGATGGGAGAAATTCCTACACATTGTCCCTTTAAGTTCATGGCCATCATATTGTATGACAAGAGTTTCTGCCCAAGTAAGATATTGTAATGTTCAGTTTTGTTTCGGTTTCATTTCCCTGGACTTTTAGTTTGTAACTCTTTGTTTCCTGTTTCCTTGGTTTCTAAAAAGTTCTCATTTGTTGACATAGCTACTCATTGATTGATTGACTTGTTCCACCTGTTCCTTGTTCAGCATTTTGTTACTCTGAGTATATATATCCCCCAGTTTGAGTTGTTCTTGGTCTGTTCTCGTTCTAAAAACTGAAAGGTTTTTCCTTTGAGTTGTTCACGTACAGACGGAAATGTTCTCAAAACCATCTCCGTTCACATGGATCTGCGAAAACGACTAAAAACGCTCTATTATGCTGCCATACCAGTAGTTGGCGGTCACTTTGTAAAGAAAAACTACACGCCTATAGACTGAACACATAAAATGCATGCGCATGACGTCACTGTTTTTGCAAATTCGAGTTTTTGTGGTTTACATGGAGACGATAACGGTCTCTTTTATATATGCACTTTGACACCCACTTTCAAAAGTTTGCGTTTTCAGGCCCCCAAAATGCCATTGCTGTGCAAATGAACTGCCAAAATGCACAAAAGAAAATCTGTGCTTATTTAAAAATGGTGTTGTGTAAACATCATGCAATTCAGTTAGGATGCTGCCTTGGAAGGTACAGTAGCAATTAGGGGTTGAACAGACTAGTTGCTGATCTTTTTAATGGCCTATAGAGTGCGCAACAGGATAATAAATCCATTAATCCATAAAAAAAGTTCATTTTTTACACACCGTTTCAGTTAAAATGACAAATAAATGCTGATTATACCATCTGGATGCTCAAAATTGATCGCGTGAATGTACGTTTTACACAGCTTACTGTACAGCTAAGTTAATTGCGTTCAAAACTGCTGCTGCATTACGCACACACACACACACAAACAGACAGTAGCGAGCATATCACATGAAGATTGCGTGCACAGAATCATTCAGTAGCGCAGAAATGGACTGTAAACTCTGTTCTGTGATTTATCAATTAAATAGCTTAGAAACGGAAAGTTCTATATTTCTAAGTGACTAAAACCCACAGCCAGGTGCAAGTAAAACGCAAGCGCACACTCACACACTAATGCATTCATATAAATGTAATCTTTACTGTGCTACTTTATCTATATCTGATTTAGAACGAGCAAAGACACTCAAAGACAAAATAACTGATAAAAATAAGCTGTTATGTAGGAGCGCTGTGTCATATGCCATAGCTGTGCACAATCCGCGTTCAGTCTCAGCTCGAGGTTCAGGCTTAATTTGTTCATCAATGACGTCATCAGCGACTAGTCGACGTCGACTCGAATTTCATCAAATTGAAAGTCGTTCAACCCCTAGTAGCTATCCATGTAGGTGGTAAACAGCAAGACAGCTATCTAGGTTTGGAACAGAGCCAAAAAAAAACTAAAACTAATGTCATTAACTTAATATTGATCATAAATAGTCAAGACCTCAAACAAAAGAGTCATTACCTTGGCTAAAAACACATAGTTGAATTTCGAGTACTTGGGACTGATCTCCTCTGCCTGTAGAATCAAACACAGGACAAAGTAAGCAAACACAATCTGTCCTTCACAGTCAGACTGAATTTATTTATTGACTACAGACTGTTGAAATCTAAACCCCGCTGTTTATGTAAAAGGACTTTTTTTTTTTTGCATTTCAGGTGTAGTTACTTAAATGTGATCATGAAAAACACAATCTCTTTAAAGAAGGCTTGCACTGCTGCCAGGCAAACGTCTAGGGCGAATTCTCCAACATTTTGCATGTTAAATGAGGTATTAAACAATTACAATTGAAGGCTGTAAACCAACACTCTATAATCAGAGCAATAAATAACACTGTCAACATTTAAGAGACTTACACAATCACACAAAATATAAACACTGCACTAGCCACATATATGAGCTTCTGTTTTCTACAAATGTAAACTCCAGGGATCAAACACCTTTTGATAAACAGTTTTTCATGATTTTAGATTACGTTTTAGTTGTTCATGATTATTTATACATTTATATATATATATAAAATAGAGAAAATCTATTTTTAACTACAGATATTTACATGACTTTTCCAACATTTTAGGACAGTTCATTTCCATGATTCCCAGCACTTTAAATAAAAAAAAAAATTCATATTTTCAAGTTTTCCTTAGTTTTTAACCCACCATAGCAAACAAACACACAAAAAAAGACTTCCGTTTTAACATGGACATCTAATATTGTACCTTGCTTCTAGGGTTCATCCAGGACTGAAAACATTTTCTCAAAATCATAAACATGGCTATAAACAGCATGCCCAAAAGTGCGTGGACAGAAAAACATCATTCAAATTACTGTAAAAATGTTGAGGTTGATATGATATTTCAAATGTTTCTTAGAAGTCCACTAAGGCTGCATTTATTTGATCAGAAATACAGTTAAAAACAGTAATATTATGAAATATTTTTGTAATTGTTTTCTATTTCAATCTATTTTAAAATGTAATTTATTCCAGTGATGTTTGCCACTGTATTTTCAGCATCATTACTCCAGTCTTCAGTATCACATGATCCTTCAGAAATCATTCTAATATGCTGATTTGGTGGTCAAGAAATATTTCTTATTATTATCAATGTTCAAAGCAGTTGTGCTGCTTAATATTTTTGTGCAAACTGTGATAAAGAAAGTCAGGATTCCTTGAATAGAAAGTTAAAAAGAACACCATTTATTTGAAATAGAAATGTTTTCTAACATTATAAATATCTTTACTGACACTGTTTTGACCAATTTTATGTGTCCTTTCTGTGATACATTTTCAGAATTATTTGATGAACAAAGTTCAAACGAACAGCATTTATTTAAAATAGAAATCTTTTCTAACAATTTAAATGTCTTTACTGTCACTTTTGATCAAGTTAATGCACCCTTGCTTAATAAATATATTAATTTCAAAAGTATCTGACCGACCCCAACTTTTGCATGTGCTTGCTGAACCAATAGAATATGCAGGCTTTCCTCTAGAAGACATTTCTGTATGAAACTTGCTTTGTGAATTGTCATGCCTTACCAGGTATCTTAATTTCAACTAAATATATTTGTCTAAGGAGATGCACGGCTGTATCGATGCTTGATTGTATGCACGCTCTGCACTAGTAATAGGTGTAGCTGAAACCCATAACTGTGAAGGGGATTTCCACATACTTTTGGCCATGTAGCATATAATGCTGTATTCTGATAGATCATTCAGTGTGTGGATAAAGAGATATCATGTTATTTGGACATACGCTGCTGCTCCATTTTCCCCCCTATAATTATTGGATTATTAATGATTAATGATGAAGAACGATATATTTCTCTCCTTTAATCAGTCATGCTGTTGTATAACTCTCCAGAATGTTGTGTTGTCTTGGCAGGGTGCAACAAGTCTAAGCACAGACCCCTTAAATAAGAAGTGATGGGTGAGACACAAAGGACAGGAAAACATCAGAGGAGAGAGCAACGTAAAAACGGTGAATGAAGGAACACAGGTCATGCTCTTTCATAAATGAACATGGTTTGTTACTTAAACTGTGACCCCTTTGCAGAACATACTAAGGCTACGTTCAGACTGCAGGCAAAAGTGGACCAAATCTGAATTACAGTTTTTCTCAATTGCTTAAAGACTAAACCCTATTGTCTGAACCAAATGCTCAGTTGCCTGAACCCACTGATTGAATCAATCACTCTTTTGGCAAAACCATATAATAAGCACTTTTCACCTGTTTAGACACAATTTGCCAACACATTTTCATTGTGATGCACCCGTGCTGCATAATGGTGAGCACAGGTGACAAAAGTCAAACACAAAGCACAGGTGTCACCACTTGAACACAACAACTCAAAATTGATCACACTTGTGGCTAATGGTGTGAGGGAACATACACAGTAAGCCAGTTCAGAGAGCACTGGTTTGTGAGGCCCTACAATGGATAGAAATCTGAGAGGAAGAGCTCGTGTGAGAGGAGGTCGAGGTGGTCAGCGAAGACAAAGAACAGTAATATCTGATGAAAACAGAGCTACTGTGATTGACCATGTTCTTGTCCATGGTATGAGCATGAGGGAGGCTGGACAAAGGGTACAACCAAACATCAGTAGATTCACTGTGTCCACCATAATCCGAAGATTTAGAGAAGAGAACAGGTAATTACCTTTTTTTGACATGATAGTACAGTATGTAAATGTTGACAGCAATTACTGTATGACATACTATTTACTGTACAACAGTATACTGTAAGTAAATATATGTTTCAGTACATCACTGTACCAATGTACTGTAGTATTGTAATGGAGGGTTGGTCTAACTGTTTGTAGGCCTAGTATATTTTTTGTAACTCCATGTTCTCTTTTTGTAGAATTGAAGTTCTCCCCACACCAAGAGACCCTAATTGTTGATATGGTCCGTGAGAACAATGCCATTAAACTGAGTGAAATTCAGCAGAAGATCATTGAGGACCATGTCAATTTTGAGGGTATCAACAGTGTCAGCCTCTCTACTGTTGATCGTGTCCTCAAGCGCAACAGACTGCGCATGAAACAGCTATACAGAGTGCCCTTTGATCGCAACTCAGACAGAGTCAAAGAGCAAAGATTCCAGTATGTACAGGTTGGCATATATCCAGACACATTCAATGTTGATTACTCTAAGTAGTGATTTACTGTAGTGGCCTAAATCACTTTTTCCGTATCACTTACACAACTATATCTATTTCTACAGAGGGTTTTTCAACTGGATGCAATGGAAGGACCCCATGAATACATCTACATGGATGAAGCTGGGTTTAATCTCACCAAAAGGAGAAGGAGAGGCCATAATGTGATTGGCCATCGGGCCATTGTTGTTGTTCCTGGGCAGCGTGGTGGCAATGTCACATTATGTGCTGCCATCAGCAATCATGGGGTTGTCCACCATCATGCCAACCTGGGGCCCTACAACACTCACCAGCTCCTCATTTCCCTCAATCACATGCGAGATGCTCTGTTAGGGCAGCAGGATGAGCATCCCATCTATGTTGTTGTTTGGGACAATGTGAGTTTTCACAGAGCCCTTCAGCTTAGAGAGTGGTTCAATATGAACCAAGGTTTAATCAATCTTTGCCTTCCACCGTACTCCCCTTTCCTAAACCCCATTGAGGAATTCTTCTCCTCATGACGGTGGAAGGTATATAAACGCCAACCTTACACCAGGGTAAATCTCCTGCAAGCCATGGGACTTGCCTGTGGTGGAATAGGTGTGGAGGCATGCCAAGCCTGGATACGGCATGCCAGGGGTTTTTTCCCCCGTTGCCTGGCCAGACAAAATGTGGCCTGTGATGTGGATGAAGTCCTGTGGCCTGACCCAGTACGGAGACATGATGCTGTGGCTGAGTAATGCACTTATTTGTATATTTTTGTACTTTATTTTTACAAGTGCTACGTGTAAATGCACAAGATTTCTGTTTTGTCTTTTTGTACAAGTGCTAAATGCACAGGTTTTTGTTTTTTGTTTTGCAACATGCATTTAGCCTACAGTGAACAATAAACATTTATTTCTCCAGCTTCATGTCCTGAGCATTGTGTTTTCTATTTTTCTACGTAGTGTTTAGTGACTGTTCAGTAGTGTTTTTAATTTTGATTGACTCGGGGCACGATTTGACAACATAGTTCAGTTTTGAGCACAGATTGAACTGTTTTGAGGTGAAAGTTTGGTTTTGCAAGAAGAGTCTGAGGTTTTGTGAATGTAGCTTGAAAATTGGGTTTTGTGTTCACAGTTTAGAGAAAAGGAGAGCAGCTTTCAAGAAATGTGTCTTAGCAATCGAGAAACACTGTAATCTGAATAAAAAAAAAATGTCAGTGTAAACAGCACAAACAACATGAAATCTGTTTTTTTTTTTAGATTCTGATTTGGGCCACTTCTATATGTGGTACTAAATCAGATATAGGTCGGATGTTTTGCAAATCTTTTGTGGCACTCTTCAAATCTTCTCGACTTTTGTGGCACTCTAAATCGACATTTGTCACAATTCTGCACTGACAGGAGTCAGTCCAAAGAATTTACATACCAGTAGTTTTTTGGTCTCTCGGTTAATATGGAAGACAGTCGTGACGGTCAAGTATGTATCACTGCAGCTCGACACCTCCAAGTGGGAGGGACTTATGCCGAACAGACGGAAACCTCCAAGTGGTTCATCATGGAGGTGTGGCGATAGAAAGACGACAATAGTAGAAATAGCGACTATAAAGGAAGCTAGCACATAGCAATTAAAAACATAAGCCATGCTGACAGCGTGATGATATTTAATGGAAATCATTCTAATATAAAAAGAAAATTAATATAGCATATGCAATAGTCTTAGTCAAGTTGGTCTAATCACTTTCAGTGAATGAAAAAATGACCGCAGGGGAATCCTGGAGAGGGAATCCCTTGTTCTGCAGCACAGCACCATGATATAAAGTTAAGAAAACTAAACAACCGAGAGGTCTACTACCTCAGATTTAATGTTTTATCTGTACATCAGCATCGGGGAATAACATTATAATCTCGTTCACGGTAGAGAAAGCTGCTTACATGTGCAAAACTAACTTTGACTTACATGTAAACGCAGCTTTTGTGTCTTTATCAGCTTTTCCATATATTTACTGGCCCTGATAATCATCACAAATACTTAAGCTTGCTCAATTTCTGTAAATCTGTTTTTATGAATGAATGACTCGCATCCGTTGCTCTAGTGTTCATCACTGGTGAGGGAGACTAACAGCTATGGAGATTATCAATCGGCAATCTACTGAAATTCCTGTCGTTCTTGGATGTCAAATGTTGAATTTTCTGTCGAATTTGAACCACTCAATTTGTGGAAGCGAATTTGTAAAGCAAAATAAAATATATGGACTGAAAATTGCCTGTCGAATATTATAGGTTGTATTTTAAAAAAAAAATTGCGCATAAATTTGCAGGCTTCAACGGCACACTAGCTCATAAACGAAAGCGTAAATGCTGACTTCAGATACCTCTGTGTTTACCTTTTATCTTGTTATTGTTCTTTTGTGCATGCTTGTCAGTTCGGGGCCGTGATCAGTTCACACTCAAATCTGATATTGGCCACATTTAAAAAAAATAAAGTGAACAGCCAAACAAAACAAAAAATAAGATCTGAGCAACAAATTGAGAATTGAGCACTAAGGCTTGCGGTGTGAAAGTCTATGGTGGGAAAATCTGGAAATTGGATTGGTTGATTTCATTGCAGAGGTTGCTGGAGCTACAGAAGCAAGAGGTGAAAATCGGTCTACCTTAAAAACGGGTGAAAATTGGTGAAAATGTAACAAATGAATGAAATGAATACAAGAAGAAATGGCTACAATTGCTTAAAAAAATTATGGCATTCAGAAAATGATGACAATTTAAGATTTTTTTTATTTTTTTTTATCTTATTTCTTTGAGAGAACAGTCATACCAGCCATCTAAATATTAATGACATACACCTCATACATTTAATGGAATGCTTGGCTGTTGAATAGAGAGGCTTGTTTCACAGTCAATCACCGGTGTGTGCAGGTGATCAGAGGCACGTCTTACCTTGAGGAAGTTCTGCAGGGCGTCCTGGACGGTGGCACTGGGTGGCTCTCCAAACAGAGTAGCAGCGATTTTCCTCTCAATCCACGTACATTGGGACACCTGCACACACAACATGTTAATAAGATAATCATAAATAAGATCTCAGCTTATCAATGTGCAGATGAAAAATAAGGCCTATTCACTGCAACAACAACAACATATATATTAAGATACACCTAATTCAAGAAATTTGATTAATGTGAAAAGCTAATTATAAGGCAATTAATTATCTAATTTTAAGGATGCTTCCCAAAATATATATACTGAATTAAAAATGATCTTTGCAGCACTCATTTAGTCAGAATACAGCAGGGTTTACACATTTTTGATCATCAACTTCCAAGACTTTTTTCTCCAAATACTTTGTTTTTGTTTTTTTACAGATTACACTCACTATAAAAATGCACACTATCGCTCAAAAGTTTGAGGTCAGCATGACACTTTTATTCAGCAAGGAAGCATTGAATTGATCAAAGACATTTATAATGTAACAAAATATTTATTTTTCAAATAAAGGCTGTCCTTTTGAACTTTCAATTCATCCAAGAATCCTGACCAAATGAAACTTGATTTCAACAAAAAATGCAAAGCAGCACAACTGTTTTCAACATTGATGATAATAAGAAATGTTTCTTGAGCACCAAATCAGTATATTAGAATGATTTCTGAAGGATCATGTGACACTTTAGTAAGATAATGATAATAATAATGCTGAAAATGAAATTTTAAAATATATTAAAATATTTAACAAAAAGTTATTTTAAATTGTAATATTTCACAATATTACTTAAAAAAAAAAAAGCCTTACCAATCCCAAACTTTTGAACGGTAGTGTGTATTCACTACAGAACTGTTCCTTTATTACATAGTAATATTATTAAATATTGTTATATAAATGAAAGGAAAATGTTGTTATGTATGTTCCAGGATTTGTATGACTGTGGGAACCCTGATAATAGACTTTAACTATGACAATATCACAAATATGGAAAATGTTCTGTCACTCACAGCATAACACCAGCGGCCCAGCAGGTAATATGACAGAGGATCTCCAGGTTTCAACTCAATCGCTTTTATGCAGATGATCCTTGAGCCAGGGAGAGGGGAGAGGGAGAGGGAGAGGGAGAGAGAGAGAGAGAGAGAGAGAGAGAGAGAGAGAGAGAGAGAGGAGAGAGAGAGAGAGAGAGAGAGAGAAGAGAGAGAGAGGAGAGAGAGAGAGAGAGAGAGAGAGAGAGAGAAGAGAGAAGAGAGAGAGAGAGAGAGAGAGAGATTTCTTCATTGTGACACGACTTGTCTTTTTTGCTGATCTCTACAGCTGAGATGCCACAAATATTTCTCCTGAACCGTCTCGCACGAACATAGAAAAACCCACCACACGCATCTGTCATTCAGCTCCTCTCTCTCTCTCACTGCTAGCTCACCTGCCAGTGCTCTGCAGGTGTGTGGTGTTTGGAAATCTAGCTGACAGCGAAGATAAAATGCTACGTGTATCAGAGACTGATCTGCTCTCATGAAATGTGTGTGTGTGTGTGTGTGTGTGTTTGTGTGTGTGGTACCCTCATTCCATTTCCTCTTGTCTCAGATAAGATTATGAACACTAACTCTCACAGAAGCTGATGTTATGCTCCTATCAACATACAAGCAGTGAAATCAACTGAAATTACCTTATGCTGAGATCACTGTTTCGTTCACTGATTTTAAAGCTTTCGCTACATGTCTACATATTTGCAATCCAATTAAAACATAAGAACATCTAGAACACTGCCTAAAAAACACATATTCACAAACTCCTACACTCACCTTAAAAAGGTAGCCATTCTTAATTTTATTCTGAATAGATTCATATTCAGTCAGGAGTCCACAAAGAATAGCATACCTACACAGAGAAAACCAGACAGAAAAGAGAACAATTACTAATACATGAATAGGATTTATGCTTAATTTCATTAATTCATTATAATTATTATAAAACATGTGTTATATCCTGTTTTCCTCCCGCTCTGTTTAGTTGCCTTGGTTACTCATTACTCTCTTGTTTGTTTCTATGGTTAGCAATTGATTTGTGCACCTGTGTCTTCAGTTAATCGCAAGAAAGTATAATCGAAAACTGTAATCAAAAATACAGATTAAAACAACGCAACAACTTACAAGAACATAAAGACCAAAAACCGAAGACAGAGCAGTACAAACTGAGGGCGGCTAACAGGATAGTGATTAACTGAATCAGAGCCAGGATAGAAAGTTCTGTATATATGCACCACTTTCTGGTAAATAGGAATGTGCATTGATTACGACGCTGACTACGCTTTACAGTAGCATTTAATTCTGGGGAGAGATAAAGAGACAACATTATTATGTTTTTAAACCCGGAAATGGCAAAAAAAGCAACACACAAATTGTCAAAGACATCCAATGAATGAACTACATTCAAAGCCATTGTAAAATGCTAATTGTACACCCATGCCAAGCTTCTAGCTAAACCACATGCAATTACACTAATGTAAAAAACTGCAGAATAATTGTTCTGATTAATAATATGAATATATTTAACAAGGCTATTTGATACAGATTGGTGTATTTTATCATGTAGAAAGAAAGAAAGAAAGAAAGAAAGAAAGAAAGAAAGAAAGAAAGAAAGAAAGAAAGAAAGAAATTAGGTGAAAGGGCTGATGTGCGTGTGTACGTGTGCTGTGTAGTTAAAGTGTTTTGAGGGGCCCGTTGAGAGATGATCAAAGCTTTTCCGCCATAGCGATGTAAATCCTGCTGGTACTCACAGTCAGACAATGGAGCCAGGCACAAACACCTTTTATGTGCACGATCAAGGGGTGAAGAGGTCGAATTACTGTCACAGAAGGTGAGAGGGGCTCCGTTTGTCTGAGTTTGAGTGGGGGACTGTATCCAAAAGGCTTTGACCTTGAGCCCACCAGAGATAAACTCAATTCAAGCACAGATTAGGGGTGGAACGGTACATGTATTCGTACCGAACCGAAAGGTACGGGCGTCACGGTTCGGTGCACGAATTTACACGGAGAATACACGGTATAAAAATAAATAAAACTCGCGTGAAAATTAATTAATGTAATGCGGAACTACCGTTAGATACGCGGGTTCTTTAGGGACACACAATCTGTAGGCTACCATCGGCTTAGCTCTGAACGCGCGTTCACTTCAAACGTTGGCTTTATACGCGCGTCCTATTCGCTATGGACTAGCGTCGAACTAGACGCGATAGACGCGAATTTAACGCTCTATTCACGTTTGGTGTGACCGCATAATGAACAGGCTGCGATGTCAAGATTGCAATGCTGGAGTGTGTGTGTGTGAGAGAGAGAGGCGCGGCCTCGATCGAACAGTGGAAACATAAAAAACATACTCCGTCATTTTGTTCATACAGATCATTAAACCTGCAAAGTGTTTACTTATATTTGTGTACACTCGCAATAAAACACAACATTGTGCTTTTGTCACACTGTAACCTACAACTGTCACCCAACCAAAATCTCTCTCTCTCTCTCTCTCTCTCTCTCTCTCTCTCTCTCTCTCTCTCTCTCTCTCTCTCTCTCTCTCTCTCTCTCTCACACACACACACACACTGTTTTAAAAGCAAAACATATTTATCCAACTCCATTTCAAAACACTCTGTGGGTCCCATCTTTTAGACATTCATCATATCGCATTGGTTTTCATTTCTTGTCCTCGGAGCACTAATCTTACACATTCTACATTGATTAAAAAAGAAAATCGAATGCGTTTTTAATGGTAGTATTATTTTATACAGAAATCAATTATTTATAATTCAGATGAGAATAATGTTACATTGTTAATTAATAATGTTAATTAAAATTAAGGAAAACAAATATATTTATCTGAAATATAGCAAATTAATTTTAAATTAATTCAGGTACAATTACCAAACATATCGCAAGGTCTTTTTGTCTTTTTATTAATTTAATTAATAAACGAATTATATAAAACTATTGTCAGTGCACTACAAATAAACTGGTTCTATGCCTTTATTAATAAAACTTATTTAAAAAATACAATGCCTTCTGCATTTTTGTTTTGCTTTTCCCTCCATTGTACCGAAATCGTACCGAACCGTGATGTCTGAACCGAGGTATGAACCGAACCGTGACTTCTGTGTACCGTTCCACCCCTAGCACAGATGTAACATGATAAGATAGACTTACTGTACTCAGTTACACTGGTGTGTGTGTGTGTGTGTGTGTGTGTGTGTGTGTGTGTGTGTGTGTGTGTGTGTGTGTGTGTGTGTGTGTGTGTGTGTGTGTGCTGTGGGAAATAAGCTGTTTGGCTGTTTAGACTGCAATTCCATGACAAAATAAAGGAAGATTAAATGCATGCATAAAGGGATCCAAGTAACAAAAAGACTGCAAGAGCATTTATTTCAATATAAATTCCCTCTCAAGCATTTTAAATCATTGATGAAGTCAAGATTGTGCCGTTCTGAATAGCCTCAGAAACAGACCATGGACCACACACACAGTCTGACCATCTGAACATCTCAATCTAGCAAGATTTAATCTGATTGGCTGACTTTGTCCAACTTTCAAGAGTAAGGCCATACAGTTTATTTTTTATGCATAACTAAGAAACCAAATCAGATTTACTAAGGCTGAATCAATGAGAAGAGAAATGTAAAGTTTGCAGGCTATTTGTGCACTTAACAGCAATTAAACTATACTGTATATGCACAAACAAAATGGCAAATTCTGCTTTGATCTCCAAGTTGTCTGTTTGATCAGAAACTATGTCATCCAAATGTAAGAACTTTGCATTATTATAGAAAGTCTATACACAATTTCTGCTAAACGGCATGCAAACAATTTAATGAACTCACTCTATGCGTTGCTCAAACAGTCAAAGTGGGCAGTTCTTGGACTGAAAAAGCTGAAATGTTTTGTTCAAATTTTTCAAATTCTGACTATGTACCATCAGTTTATCTGTTTAGGAAAGAGGATGACTGAGAACGAATATTGCATCACCTTGTTGAGGAGCTAGTTCTCTGAACTTCTCTGAACTTGGCGTCGCTGCAGGCCAGACAGTTTAAGAACATATTTCACAAACTTCCTCCCAAAGCAAACAAAAACTTGGGCAAGTTTTAGCAATTTCTCTGTCTGGCTATTGGCTACTGTGGTGCAAAGAAGGACTGTTAAAGAAAACTCTCTACACCAAAACTAGAATGAGCAAATGCAACAGAACATCACAAAGTTTTCGATAAGATATATAGGGGGGTGAATACCTTAAAATCAACATATCTGTTACAAAACCAAATCTGCTGCCTACATACATAGACAGCATTTTAAAGTGATCATATTTCTAACATTATGCTGCTTTGGCCAAATTCTAAGACAGTATGAAATATATCCTTCACGGATAATGTAATCCCAAAATGCATTGCAACAAGCTAATTTAAATAAGCTACCCATGATGAAAGGGGTTTATAAAGATACATTGGTAACACTTTACAGGTTTTATTTGTTAGCATTAGTTAATGCATTAACTAACAAACTTTTTAAAGCATTTATTAATCTTTGGTAATGTTAGATACGACTTTGTATCTTAAAAAATGTTGTACATTTTGAGATTTACATGAACTAAGATTAATAAATGCTGTAGAAGTAGTGCATTCTTACTAGTCCATGTTAACTAACGTAGTTAACTAATTCTAACAAATGAAACCCTATTGTAAAGTGGTTTTACACTTTGGACCCATTTACACGATATCGTTTTCAACTAAAAATGGAAACTTTTTTTTTGCATTTTGGCCGTTCATTTACACGACAACAGCAAAACGCACCTGAAAACGCAAACTTTTGAAAACATGATTCAAAGTGTACGTTTTTTTTTTAAACGTTACCATTACCGTGTAAACTACAAAAACGTGAATTTGTGAAAACGGTGACGTCATGCTCATGCGTATTACATGTTCAGTCTATAGGCGCGTAGTGTTTCTTTACAAAGTGACATCGCCAACTACTGGCCTGGAATGCATAATACAGTGTTTTTAGTTGTTTTCACAGACAATGTTTGACATTGTTGTCGTCTGTGCGTAGAAAACGCAAAGAAAGAAAACTCTCCGTTTTTAGTACAACGTTGTAATGTAAAAGTGTATTTTACTGTTACTGTATAATTAAATGCTGAGTAATATAAAAAATTTGTACTTACTATAGGGTTAGGATTAGTTATGTGTAATTATGCAAAATTTATAGTTATTACTAATTCATTACATTTATATAGCGCTTTTCTCGGCACTCAAAGCGCTATACATAGAAGGGGGAATCTCCTCAACCACCACCAATGTGCAGCTCCACCTGGATGATGCGACGGCAGCCATACTGCGCCAGAACGCCCACCACACACCAGCTTACTGGTGGAGAGGAGACAGAGTGATGAAGCCAATAAGTATATATATGGGGATGATTAGGAGGCCATGATGGACAGAGGCCACTGGGCAAATTTGGCCAGGATGCCGGGGTTATACCTACTCTTTCGAAAGAAATCCTGGGATTTTTTTGTGACCACAGAGAGTCAGGACCTCGGTTTAACGTCTCATCCGAAGGACGGTGCTCTTTGACAGTATCGTGTCCCCGTCACTTTACTGGGGCGTTAGGACCCACACAGACCACAGGGTGAGCGCCCCCTGCTGGCCTCACTAACACCTGAAGGTTTTCCCAGAAGGTCTCCCATCCAGGTACTAACCAGGCTCAGCCCTGCTTAGCTTCAGTGGGCAACCAGTCTTGGGCTACAGGGTGATATGGCTGCTGGCAAATTCATCATGCTTTTCATTTCATCATGAAATCATAATTTCAATGCAAATCACCATGCAAATTCATATTACTATATTAACTATGTGTA